TTATTAAATTTTGTTTTTGGAATGCAATAGGCAACGGAATAGCAAAATTAATGGCAGAAATTACGTCTAAGTCAACTGCTCAAATTGAACCAAAACCATATTCAAAAATTAAATTTTGTTTTTGGGATGCAATAGGCAACGGAATAGCAAAATTAATGGCAGAAATTACGTCTAAGTCAACCGCTCAAATTGAACCAAAACCATATTCAAAAATTAAATTTTGTTTTTGGGATGCGGTAGGCAACCTAATGGCAAAATTAATGGCAGAAATTACGTCTAAGTCAACTGCTCAAATTGAATCAAAACCATATCCAAAAAGAATCCAACAGATCATTATCAGCAACGATGCTTTAAATTATAATTAGAAGATCCAAATCTCTGTGGAACTTTTCTCGCACGAAGGAATCCGTTTTCGTCCACCATCCCATAATAATCAGGAACAAAAGCAAAAATATATGCATCTTAATTCGATCTTTACTAATTACCTAATTAAACTTCAATTTTCAATATAATCTTTGCATTCTGGCTTCATGTACGTACATATGTGTACACTTACTTCTGCTACGAAGCTGCCAATAAACGACTTCGACCATTCCTAAACTTTTTAATTAAAATGAATTTAAAATGTTAATCTTTAGCCAATGAAATGTAGTTATAGCCACCAATTTATTAGTTTTTTTTTTTTTTTATCTTTGTTACATAATAAGAAACAATTATCTTTCATCCCTTATCTCAGTCCACCGCATATCATGTAACTTGAATTTAGGATCTCATATTTCTAATAAAAGGAGATAATCATTAAATTATTTAAGTCGTTGACACCAATTTACAACTAAAACTATTAAAATTGTATTTTATTTGGTTGATATTTGTAATTTTTTCTTAAACAAATAATTATAATGTCTAAATTATCAATTTATAAATTAGTTTTAAGTTATTAAATAATAAATATTAATTATTTTATTATTTATTAATTATTCTTAACAATAAAATATAATAAAATAAATCTTCTTTTAATACAATTTTAGTGGTGACAACCACACACAACTTCCTACTGTCCTCTTTTTTAACAACTATAAGTTGAAAGGAGCCGAGTTTTCCAATTATTAATTCAATTAAATTTTATGTAATAATCAGACGCCTTTGTCAGTACTAGGATGCTTATGTACTACTCAATATAAGCTTTATATTTTTGTTTTTTTCTCTCTTTTTTTTTTAAGTAAGTACACGTAGAATCTTTTATTTGGCTTAATGTCCTAGGGAGGTCCGCTATGGTTGTTAATTGAAATTATAATACTGTTAATTCGTTGAGATTAGGTTAATCACGCTCATAAACAATTCGTAAATCTTTTTAATTTGTTGAGTTAGATGAGCTGTATCCCTAACTAACTTTGGTCAGCCAAAATATTCGAAGACAATGATAGATTGATCATCAATTTTTTAGTGCACATTGATTTTGGATAATGCCACAATGATCATTTACCAATTTACAACTAAAATATATAAAATATTGAAACTTGGGTTTTAAGCTTTTTAACCAAAATTTACCAAACCCAACTAACTCCTCTAAAAAGTTAGTAACCACTAAACTCCTAATTTTGTTTTTTTTTTTTTCTTACAGTATTATAATTTATAAATTTGTTTAATGTTTAAATTATATTAAATAATAAAATAAAACTTATTAAATGAGGAAAAAAATCTCAATATTAAAAATTTTAATTTTATTTAATAATTAATATAATACAACATACTGATTAGTAATTTAAAATTTTTATTTTTTTATTATAATTTTTTAATTGTAAAATATATGATTAATAAATTAATATTTATTCGAATATCAATCAAAAAATCAATTTAATGATCTTATATTATATTATATTATATTTTTTATATAAAAAATATAACCACTTGAAATACACGAGAAATGCATAATTTTGTTTCTTTTTAATTACGAGCTTCATGCATCTCTTCTCTTGCTAATGCAACGTACTGGGAATCAGTCCCGTGGGGTGGGGGACGGGTTGTAGGATACAATCATTCCAGGGTTGGGTTAGATTCAAGCCCAACAGCCGAGTGCTATATCACCACCCGCGTGGAGACAGTGGGGCCTAAGGGGACCAGGCCCCCCTAGACTTTTTCAAAAACATCAATTAAGTCTAACAAATTTTTTATTGTTTTTATCTTTATTTATTTCCTGGTATTTTAATTATTTTCTAGTTTTTTCATTGTTGAAGATTACATTTGGTGATAATAAGAAAAGTGAGGAAAGTAATTAAAGATAATATAAAAATGAGGAAAAATAAAGATTAGTAATTGAAAACTATATTTATTGTCATACTTTCACAAAATGAGTATTCATTGATCTCTTTTATTTTTTATTTTTTGCTTATTAATATTTTTCTACTCAATTTATGTTACTACTGTTTATCTTCCAATTGATGGCACCATTTTCTACAGGACCTATAATTTTTATTTAAAATAAATTTATTTAAT